TCCCTATCCCAGCCATTAAAGCTGGCCCTCTGGCTGTCCCGCCTCCTGGCCACCCTCTGGTCAACTGCCCTTGCCAGTGTTCGTGGAGTTTTTATATTGTCAAACCATCTTTACTTTGATCATTACTGTTCAAGGGGGTCTCTTAGCAAATTGCTTCTTTAGTCCAGGCAGCTCTGTCACAGAGGCCCAAACACATGTGACTTGACATCAGAAGACCTGGGATCACACACTAAACCGTGTTCTATATTCCCTGTGTGACTTTAGGCAAGTTACTTCACTCTCTGAGCCTCATCTGTCCCCTCTATGAAACAGGGGCCATCATACTCATCTCAAAAGAGGGCTTGACCACAACAATACGGGAGTGTCCTAGAGCATCACAAAGAGGGATGGCTTCTCTCTCTGTGCTTTGATTGTGCTTTGATTCTTTTTCATAGCAGCACGGCTTTGAAAGAAGACTGTGCTTTGATTCTTTCTCATAGCAGCACGGCAAGGGACTAAAGCTAGCCCAAAGGGTTTCACTCTCCTTTTACTTGCCAACAAATGCAGTGACCTGTTGTGTCTGCATATTGTCCACTTTGCTCCCATTCTCTGCCTGAAGGTAGGGTTCCCAGCAGTCAGGGCCCACAGCTCACGTGAGTCCTCGGTCCGTGGCTTTTAGCTGCACCTTTGCCAACATGTAAGCAACCCGGTGACTGGCAGACCCAGGAGGAATCCAAAGGAGGGGGCATTGTGCCCCCAGCTAGTTTTAAAATTCCTATAGTATACAGCGGTTAAGAATATGGACTTTGGAGCCCAACTTTCTGGATTTGGAGTCAAGTGATTCAACTTCTCCAAGCCTCAGTTTCTCTAATGCATAAAGTAAGGGTTTTTTTGAGCATTAAATGAGTTAAGACACATTAAGTGCTGAGGATACAGTTTGGCGTATATTAAATTGAATCACACGAAACTACTCTTATTCAATGGTATTTAACCTAAAAACCAGTAGTTTCATGTGGTCTGACTTAGTAGTAAGTCCTAAGCGAGTGATAACTCTTAGGATGGCTCTCTGCGCGGCGGAGATACAGCTCTCGTGACAGCCAGTCACACCTTCCTTTTGTTTACTTGCAACACTGAGAAGCAAGCTTTCTCCTCACCAGTATGGAGACTGGAAAGCAAGCAGGCATGCTCTCCACCCAAGGGGGCCCAGACAGGGCAATCGTACATGGTCTGTGGCCCCCTTCTCAGAGCAGGCACGCAGCTTTCCTCCGCACAGTCTGGGAATTCCTCCTCTGAAGAAGGGCATGTTGTCACATGCCACCGCGGGGGCCTAGTCTCGTGTCGGCAGTCGGGAGCTTGTCTGAGGGGTTCTCCCCCGCATGAAAGGAATCCGTAAGAAGAAGCGGGGCGCGTGGGGTGCGTGTGAGGTGTATGTGTACATCCTCAGCAGCCGTGGGCTCTCTCTGGCAGGAGCTGGAGTGGCTGCTGGAGATCAACCGGCTCACGCACCGGCTGCTGTGTAAGCACATGACCCTGGACAGCTTCGATGCCATGTTCCGGGAGGCCAATCACAACGTATCCGCCCCCTACGGCCGCATCACCCTCCACGTCTTCTGGGAGCTGAACTTCGACTTCCTCCCCAACTATTGCTACAACGGGTCCACCAACCGGTAAGGGAGTCCCTGTGCAAAGGGGGCTGGGGTGGGCTGGGGGCCGGGGAAGCGGTTCCTTCCTGTAACAGGCGTGTCGTGGAGTCCCTCCTGGTTGGAGGCTCTGTGCTGGAGGCGGGGATGCCACCATGAACAAGCCTGCCTCTGAGGGCCTTCAGGCAAGGAGGATGCCGGTGAAAAATGGAAAGAGTGAATCTGGAGATGGAGGAAAGCCCCAGTCATGAGAGAGAAAACACCACCACCTGATCCGGCCTGGGAAGTGATGGGAAGCTCAAGAGAGGCTTCCTCCTCTGACAAGTAATGCTTGAGCAGAGATGTGAAGGATAAATAGGAGTAAATAAGGTGAAAAGACAGGAGAAGAATATTCCAGGCAAAGTCTCCAAGGAGCCGAGAGTGCGTGGTGAGGGTGGAGCCCATGGGAAGAGGCGGTGCCATGAAAGATCGCGCAGGACCCAGGAGGAAGCAGGAGCTGGCTGTGCACTACTCCATAGTCCAACCTAGGAGCACACGTGGTGCTTTATGAGCAGATGGTACTTTTATGACAGTATCCACGTACATGAATACGTTTGGGCAAAATAGGCACACGGATGCATGACAAAGTGGCGTATATCTCCTGCAGGGTGCACATAGCCCTGCGTCAGGCACCGAGGTGAGGACAAGACTTAATCCCTTATCCTCACAGAAGTTCAAAACCTGATGGAGGATGGGAGATGTATTCACCCACAAAACAAGTACATTAGGTTACACAAACATGCATGTGTTTACCGGTCCTCTCGGTACCCTCAGGGCCTGGCTCACGACCAGTATTAAATAAATATGTGCTGAATGAATAGAAGGACCTGGGAGGAAACCACACATGAGCCTGAATCCACACATTTAGCAAGACAGACTTCTGATTCTGTAAAGATCTGGGACTTTAAATCCTCTTGAGCAGAGGTCTGCAGGCCATCGCCCACAAGCCACATCTTGTTGCCAGCCGTCTCTGTACAACCCAGGAGCAAAGAATGCGATTAACATTTTTGAATGGCTGGGGGGAAAAAATCCAAAAAATTATAGTTTGATGACAAGTGAAAAATCATTTGAAATTCGTAAAGTTTTACTGGAACCCAGCCATGCTCATTCATCTACAGTTATTTATGGGCACTTCACGCTACCAGCACAGTTGAGTAATGGTGACAGAGACCATCTGGCTTGCAAAGCTGAGAATACTTGCTATCTGGGCCTTTACAGAAAGAGTTTGTGGAACCCTGCTCTTAAGAAGCCAACCTGGGCGGGGCGGGGGGAAGGATCAGAGCCCCAGAGAAGGCCATTTGCAGGTCCAGCCAGTTGTCTTTCTTGCCTACTGTCCTTGTGAGCGGCCATAGCCCAGAGGCTAGCCTGGGAATCTGGACTATGGTTTTTCCACCTATGGGAAGGAGACAGTAGGCAAATGAATGGGTGTATGTCGTAAGAGTTTAGTACCTTTATAGACAACCACCTAGAAACACTGCGGTTGCACCTGGTCAGGAAGGGCTCCGGCTAGGTTGTGTCCCATGAAGAATGCTCTCAGGACCCAGTTAACTCCCGCCCGTTCTCTTTTCCTCTACTAGTTTTGTTCGAACTGCCATTCCTTTCACCCAAGAACCGCAAAGAGATAAGCCCGCCAACGTCCAGCCTTATTACCTCTATGGATCCAAGGTGAGTAGTCTTGCCTGTGTCCTACTCCTAAGACTAGTGAGCAACAGCAATTAGAAAAGTGTTCCCCAAATCAGAAAAGTAAAAAGGTGCAGAGATAGAGAGACAGCAGTGAGATCCAGGCAGAAACAACTGCGAGTATATTTATCTTTATTTGTGCACAGCTAGCCAGGATGGGGGTGAAGCAGACCCGGCAGGGGTGGTTCTTGGGTGGGAATTATTTGGGGGGATTTCACGGAGGTGAGCAGGGACACAGGTGCGTGGGGCTTCTCATCTTCATCCTCTCTCCTCCTGTTGCTCAGCTGATTCATTGCAGTATGGTCGTGTGATTCTGGGATTTTGTGTTCCAGAAAGGCAAGGGTTTTGCCAGCAGGAAGCAATTGGGAAGGTGGAGTTTTGAAGGAAATCCCAGAGGGCTGGAGCTAGTGCCGAGAGACAGATCTTTTCCCATCTCTTTGCCGCTTTGTTCCCAATACACATCCTAACACTAACCAGGCCTCCCAAATGGTGCCCTGTTCTAGACCTTCAGTCCTTTGCCATTCATTAAACAGACATTTATGAAGTGCCCACAATAAGCCAGACATGGGGCTAGATTCTGCATGCTGGGGATATATCAGAGATTAAAACGGACATCATGTCTCCCCTCCTCAAATTTCTACACCCATGGTGGATACAGGGGGCAGTGTTCACAGAGTCTCACCAACACTATGATAGATGTAGGAGATCTATCTCTTACCCGGTGGGTTTGAAGGGGAAGAATGCCACTGTAAGAGCGAAACGTGTCCACAACAAAGCCAGCATTTTTATTTGTGATGGAATAGAAATGGCTACCTTTGACCCCATTTTCAAAAAGTAAGCACAGATGGACTCAGAAGAACCACTGAATACATATAAGCAAAGGTACTCCTCTAGTTTGGGGAGCCCTAGATTGGGAAGTGTGGTGAACCAATGAGCTCCCACCACTTGGGCCTACAGGTGGGCTTAGAAGGTCTTGGGATGATGCTGGGACAGTGTGGATGTCCTCTCCAGGACAGCCAGTCTGGTCAAGGCAGCTTTCTCAACACAAGGGACACTTTGAGCCAGCATTTCTGATAGTTCAGACATGTCATTGAACGACTCTGACTCACAAAGTAAGAACAACACCTCCCTTTCCAAGTCTCTTACAAACCTTGTGATTATAACAAGGAGAAAGACACATTTATGTTGATGCTTATATGTCTTTAATACCTTCTCCTTTCCATTTTCTTTTTTTATCGAAGCTAAGAGAGCAGACCTTAATTAAGCTCAGAGTCTTCAGTAGGCAATAGAATCTAAGTCAAACTTAATGTTACTTTGTTTTCATTATATTTATTCTTATGTCTCTTCTACTTATAGCAGGAGGGTGCTGGTTTTTCATTTATGGAGTCATATAAGTCTGTCTTTTAAGATAAGTTTAAGTTTTAAAAATGAGTCGATTTAAAGAAAAATATTGTTAATAATAGTAAAGATAGTCTATGGTTTAAACAAAATGGAGATGGGGTACGAGGTGGTATGTGATTGTCCGAAAGCTGGAAAACACTGTGGAGCAAGGCTTCTCAATCTTTCCAAAATAGTCCCCTCAACAGCAGAGGGGACTGGATGTCTGCCTCAGCTGACTGAAAGCATAACCGGGAGAGCCCATCTTCAACTCAAAAGTTTCCTCGAAGTACTGTGTTTTATTAAGTCATGCAAATTTTGCTTTCTATGCCATGATATATTCATGTTTGTTTTAACATTAAAATAATGTTTTTCATTCCTAACTGGGCTCCCCTAAATGGACACTCCTGAGAGACACCATGTTTCTCCTTTGGCATACTGTGGGGGTATATGCTTTCTAGCTTGAGAAGCTTTGTCATAGGGCATTCATCCAACCCGGATGATCCACAAGAGCACTGACAGTTGAGGGGAGGCAAATGGGTGGTCTAGGGACACATTTTTACAAAAGATCTACTGTATGGAGGGCTTTAAGCTACACAACGCGCGGGCCGCCTCCTCCCTACCTCTCACTCCCTAAAATGAGGCAGCATGGCAGGATGATCACCACCACCGCCCCTCAGCAAGGCACCCACGTCAGGAACATCCTGATTGGCGGCATCCTGGTCAGCTGCATCATCCTCGTTGGCTTCCCCTTCGGCTTCTGCTTCTGCTTCTGCTTCAGCGCCGGAGTTCTTGCGTGGCATTTCCACCAGGGGGAGCCCTTGCAGGTCTTCCTCTCTCTGCCCAAGTGCGGGGGCCTCCTCTGGCCATCTCACCAACCCATTGGCTTCCTCCATGTGGCCAGCTCGGTAAGACCATCGAGGCTCGTGGCAACGAATGCACCAGAACTGGAGGCAGATGAAAGCTAAGACGGCTGTGAAGCAGGCCAGTAGAATGGCCATCAACACCCACAGGGAGATTTGGGGGTCCACCAGGGAGCTCCCGGCCGCCAGTGGACTCTTATCCAGGGTATGGAACATGGTGCAGTAGTGCCTGTAGGGGAAGGCAGCCTTCTTGCAGCTGATGCACAGGAAGTAGAGAGTGGAAGGTGCCAGGTGTTCCAGCACCACGGAGCTGATTGTTCGGGGCACCTTCTCCTCGTGGTGGAAGCTGTAACGCAGATAGCCGGAGAAGATGCTGTTCCAGTTGGGCCTGTACATAATATGGTAATAGTCCTCCAGGCAGGGCTCTGAGGACGACCAGGAAATGATGGCTCCTGTATGAGAGACGTTCCCAACTTCGATGTTCATCCTGATTCTAGAACCAGAATCAAAGTGGAAAATGACATCCCCTATTGAAGCATTTATGTATGATATTCATAACCACCGTATATTGAACATTCACGACGGGGACTAAGATTGCCCCTGTTTTACAAAGAAATGGAGGGCAAAGAGGTTACGTTACTCAGCTAAGGAGTAGCTAAGAAATAACAGAACACAAGTTCACATCAGGGCTGTCTCGTGTCAAAGCCTGTGTCCTGCAGGCCTGACATCCCCCAGCCTCATCCTGCCCTGGCTCCGATCCCTTAGATACAACATTGTTTCCAAGCCTTTAAAAAAGGAAGAAAGGCCATAAAAGAAATCAGATAACCCAATTAATGTGCCCACATGAGTCACCACAGCTCTGCGACCTCCAAGTCAGACAGTTATGTCACCTACAATATCCCTTCTGGACCTTCTGCTCGCAGTGCTGTGAGCTCAGTCATCTAGAACATTCTGCCCACTGCTTTTTTAGCCTCCCAGTTCTGTTGCCCATGAGAGAGGAGATTTGCGTCATCACTCCTTGGCAGCTGATTTCTCCCCAAAGCCTCTGCTCATGTTTTGTTTCTTTGTTTGTGTGTTCAAGGCCGAAGGTACCCAGGAAATTAGTTGTGTAGGTCAAGGCAATCAGCTCCTAATACCAGCATAAATGCTGCTACTTAATACCTCTGGTACTGTGAGTGTTAATAATGAGAGTAATCACCACCTGTTAGTGAGTGGTTGCTATGCCACATCTAGTATGTGTCATGCTAGATGCTCACATACCGTAACAAATTTCCCTTAGTCTTCATCAGGCCCTCTGAGCTAGATCCCCATTTTACAGATGAGCAATCTGAGGTCACTCAGCTAACAGGTAGACTCAAAGCCACTTAACTGCTACATTTCCAAATGCAAGGCTGCTGGGTTTAGTTACAGCACGTTTTTGCAAAATGAGGTGCTGGCACTAAGACCCGGTTGCTGTTTTTCCACAAATCAAATGAGCCCTCTTCAGATTACCACCCCTCCCGCTTTGGTAAGAGAGCACCATCTTCAAGCTTTTTAGTTTCTCTTAAATGCTATCTCTTTGAGAGAGAGAGTTTCCCCTCCACTGAATTTCCCCTGATCTAAAAATGAGGGGCAGCCATATTCACTCAGCCTGTGTGTCTGTTCATGTACAGGTCTCACCCAGCCCTGTTCTCTGCCCTTCCTGTCTCACGTGAAATGCAGAAGCCTGCGTTTTAGATTTTAATGACCCAGTAAAAACCCATCAGCCAGATTTTAACCTGAACTGGATGTGAAGCCAAACTGATTTCTATTACAAGCTGCGCTCTCTCCTCCCTGCCTCCCTCCGAACTTCTATTTTCATGGCCATTTCCCTAGAGGAGGTGGGCTGCAGAAAGATGCACAGCACTGAGCGATTTTTCAATCCTTGTTTTTCTTCTCTAAGGATGACAGTGAACTGAAATGCTCAGGAAGGGGAAGAGTTCCCTTCAGTTTGGTTGGAAATTTCTTCCCAGAAACATGGGGAATGAAAGGGACAAGACAGGTGTGCTCAGACCCCTCCGGGGAAGGTCATTGCAAAGGAGAGTGTTTGCGCCCCCTTCGTCAGTCTCCCTTCTCATGACCTCCCCCATCCCCTCCACCCGACCCATCCCTATAAACACACTTCTGACCACAATGAGAAGAGCTTAATTCATTTCTTATAATACAGAGGCAATGGCCTTTGTAAAGCCCTTCCATCAGGGGTGACCAGGAATCCTGGGGTTTTTTTTTTCTCTTGCATCTTTTCCCCTGTTTGCTTCGCATCTGCTGCTGGCTGTCTTTGCAGACTGAGTTCTCTACAGCAGACATTTTTAAGAGCTTTCTGGCAAGACACTGGGGCAGCATCTTCAGCTTTGGGGACCAGATCAGTCTCCCTTATTTGCTTTTCTTTCTCTGCTTCTGTTTCTAAATTCCCCCTATTTTTAGCTATTCATATTGCCGTTGCCTGGCCCTCCGCCAAGCAGAGTGTGAAAGGAAAAACCATTTCCATTTCCAAGAAGAGCCATTTATGTCCCTTACCTGATGCTCGCGGTGGATCTGGTTAGAACGCAGCCTGCAGGGGCAGACAGAGTGGACCAAAGCTGAAGGAATGGAGCCTTCTCCCTCCTCTGCTCTGGGCTCTCCTTGACGCCTCTCTTGCCACAGTCTGAGTAATCCCACTGTCGCCCCCAACGCTCACGTTATTCATTTCTTCAGATCAGCATCATTTACCATGGCAACCGGCAGGCATCTGTACGCACGATGCTTTCAGGGACCAGTCTGGAAAGGATTTTGCCCGCTGAGCGGAGCTCTCATTCCTTTGGCCAAAAAAAGGTGAACAGTCTCCTGCAAACTGATCCTCAGAGGTATTAATTCTTCCAGGGCTGCCAGATTTTCTCTCTAATTGGCTGGTGATCATTTTTTGCCCCATCTAGACCCTCTTTGGACAACGGTCAAATGCAAAGATGCCCTTCTCAGTTATCCCACAATTAAAATAATAATTTTATCCCGAGCCATCCCACCCCTACCCCACCTCTGTATCACCTTCTTTCTTCATTCTTGTCTCCTGTGTCATTCTCTATTTACATGACCCTGGTCAGCAGTCTTTTATTCTCTGGGCCTCAATTCCATCATCTATAAAGCTCTGGGCTTGGGCTAGATGGGGATGGCAGATGCAAAGCAGGACTACTGTCCCTGCTCAGTCCCGAACCCACGTCAGGCTTGCTGAACCATCACAGCACTGGCACTGGGTTGATCTGAGCATCCACCAAAATTCCGGTCTACCCAGAACCCCAGCGTGTGACCTTATTTGGAAATAGGATCTTTATAGATTGAATTAGGTAAGGATCTTGAAATGATATCAGCCTAGATTTAAGGGGAGCCCTAAATCCGATGACTGGTGTCTTTTTTTATTTTGTTAAGATTTTATTTATTTGAGAGAGAGAGAATGAGAGACAGAGAGCATGAGAGGGAGGAGGGTCAGAGGATGAAGCAGACCCCCCGCTGAGCAGGGAGCCCAATGCAGGACTCGATCCCGGGACTCCAGGATCATGACCTGAGCCGAAGGCAGTCGCTTAACCAACTGAGCCACCCAGGCGCCCTATTTTTTTTTTAATTTAATTTTATTTTTTTTTAAAGATTTTATTTATTTATTTGAGAGAGAGAGAGAATGAGAGAGAGAGAGAGCACGAGAGAGGGGAGGGTCAGAGGGAGAAGCAGACTCCCTGCCGAGCACGCAACCCAATGCGGGTCTCGACCCCAGGACTCGAGGATCGTGACCTGAGCTGAAGGCGGTCTCTTAACCAACTGAGCCACCCAGGCGCCTGACTGGTGTCTTATAAGAGAAAGGAGAGGGAGGTTTATACGCAGAGGGCCATGTAAAGACAGAGGCAGAGGTTGGAATGATGCTGCCATAACCAAGGAGCGCCAGGTACCACCTGGAGCTGGAAGATGCAAAGAAGGAGTCTACCCTGGAGCCTTCAGAGGGAACATGGCCCTGCCAGCACCTTGAGCTGAGGCTTCGGCCTCCAGAACTGTGAGCCATTACGGTGTAAATGCACCGTGCTTATGGTAATTTGTTACAGTGGCTCAGGGAAAACTAATACAGCACTCCTTCCACTTGGGCTCAGAAACACAAGCATCCCAAGAAACTGCTTACCAATCCATCACTTGGGGTTGACACCGGAAGTGGAAACTGCTTACTGTTCCTGGATTGGATGGTCCGCAAAGTTCCTTTTCTTTGAGGAGTCCTGACTCTGCTTCCATTTCCCACAAAGGTGTATCTGCCTCCGAGATTCTGCCGCTTCCTGGTCCCCTCAACCTTGAAAGAATTTGTTGCCATCACTGCTGGGGCCATCACAGAGCAAGTCTGAAATATAAAGAGAATAAAGTTCTGTCACCTTCAGCCACCAAGTCTGTGGAAATTGGTGATAGCAGCTCCAGCCCAGACAGATTTAGACCTGAATTATTTTACACAAATCATGTGCTTTTAAAAGCCAGTTTTTTTCCTCTTCTTGGTTCTTGGCCAAAGCATCCAAGTGAACCCGTGAAAGTCTCCTTGTGATTCACATGAGTGATAATCAAAAAGTTATGAAGAGTTTCCTGGGGAGCCACAGACCCTCCCCTGGCCAAGGGTCTCTGTGAGGCTTGGCGTCTCGGGATGTCCCTGGATTAGACACTTGCTCTGTGGCTTTCCCGTGGCATCAGGTCTTCCTGGGGGCCTGTCTAAGCTCTGCTGTGATGTGTCCTAATGGCAACTCCCTGCCGAACATAAAAGTGTCCTCTCCACAGAAAGGCCAGTGTGGTAGTTTGCAGGTGTCTTTTGAAAAGGTTATTTTGAGGGAAATAAAAATACCAGACTCAGGAGGCCTGTGGAGCGATGAGATGGAACTCAAGCCTTTGCCACAGAAAATGGGGATTTATTTTTAATGCTCCTGGATGCCATTTTTAACACTAAGCTCTTTACTTGAGAAGGTGAGACACGGAGAGAATGAGAGTGAGGCCTGGAGGCCTTTCTATTTCCCAGATCCCAAGAGAGGGGATGGCATTCCTCAGGCCATACGACTGATTGGTGGCAAAGCCAGGGGTGGAAACCAGGTCTCCAACTCGCAGTGCTGGGTGCGTCCTGCCCCTTTGGGCCATCACCGTCCACCAGCAGCACCCAGGGGAGCCAGGGCAGCCCTCAGGTGTGTGAGATAAATCTTCCCGGGGCACCTGCCGCAGGAGATCGCATCCCGGCCAGCCTCACTCTCTCTCCCCCTTCGGGGAGGACCCAATTGCAGGGTATCCAAGCTGGAGCCCCTTCAGCTGGCAGCCTGGGAAGGCCCTGATTGGCTTGCACTGCTAGTAGATTGCTGCCAGAGATCAGCCCTTCCTGAAGGTGGCAGCAAAGGGATGATGTGAGGGCATTCCTGGGGCGTTCCTAGGCCCCAAAGCTGACCGGCACCCAGGAGAAAGTAGTCCTTCAGCGTGCAGGCCCTAAAACCCCAAGG